CCTGAAAAAATACTGCCGACGCAAAATATATAGAGCGGAACACGACATAACGGGTATATATCAATGAGCGGCGAATGATGCAGCTAGAGAGCAATCTCAACTTGCCGCTACTAACCAGTAAACAGTAATCCATATCATCATCATCACCATCATCATCATCATCAGAATTTAAATCATCATCATCTTCATCATCATCAACAAGGCATTGAAATTGACGAAATGACGGACAGGGAAATACATACATTTAGCCCTATTATAACTGACTAATTGTGATGACTTTGCCATCTGTGTCTGTAATGGTCGCTTTACTCATATCTCATTTGTTACGCTTATCTCTCCATCGCGCTACAAAATGCTACACCAACTATGTACAAATTAACCTGCCCGAATGAAGCTTTTGTGGGAAAAGCGCAACTTTGCCAATCAAATAAACTAACCGATTGTTTACAAATCTCTCAGAAATAAAAATAAGTTTTGTCCATTCAGATGGGCGCATTTTCACCAGATTTACTTTACCAATGCGAAATATAATGCAAAAAAGCATCAACGACAAGTACACCTTAACAGCAGTAAAATAAGAAGTTGTACCTTCAAGCTAATGTAAGGTTAAAATAGTTGTGTTTCGTTCCTTATGGGTGGATTATTGTGAGTGGAGTACTGAATGGGGTTCCGTTGCGACGATTTAGGTGATTTGAAAACTTTAAATTTTGACCATGTGGATGAAATGGATTTGGTGATATCTATCTAATTACATAGATTGTAAAATGTGTCCTTTAATAACCTGACTGAAAATTTGATGCATATATCAAAATATATGGTGTCGATAACATTAATAAATGGTTCTTTCCTTAAACCGGAGCAACAAGCAATAAATTTTGATGAACTGACATGAAGCACGTGGTCTAGTTTAAAACTTTCTGGTAGAATATCGCGGTGACAGTATTAACTGCGGGAGAATATATGCGGCTATAAACATTACAACTAATGGACAGGAAACTGAAAGCGTTTTGGGTCTGCGATCGTAAATTGAGGGCCTTCAGCTGTTTAACATTCTCAAAAATACTGTGCAGATATATAAATTCTGAGATAGGAAAACTCCGAGACATTGTACGGTAGAGGAACGAGGTACGCTTTGGTCGTTTACGATAATGAGCTTAGAAATATTTATTGGGGACAGTAGTCTGTTTAGATGAAGCTAACAGAACTTTGCTTCACAACCATTGGAAGGGTTGAAAAAATGGATCTTGTGCCTCATCATTTGCCGTGCGGCTGCACTTTTACTCGGCTCGCTCTTTGCCCTTTCTTGCCACTCTAATTCTCCCCACACAGTATTGTGCGTGCGCTGGTAGGAACCAGTTCGACGAGCTCTATTATGTGCTTCTTAACTCTTGGATCTAACCTGTGTGCATTATACTCTTGCTCCAATTCCCAATTTTCGGCATATTCTTTGCCGAGTTCTACGTGTGTAACTACATCAAACCGGTTTTCGGAAAGGATTTTAGTCGCATTCGGAAGAAGAATCTGAGGGCTGCCAAACTACGCGTCAACCATCCTTGCAAGTTGCAGCATTACAAAGTTAAAGTCATTTTGCTCCGCTCATCAACTGAACAGCTCTAGGGACGCTTATCAGTGCTTCAGCTGCATCGTCGCTTAAGGCAGGCCGATCAACACACGCTGCCGCTTTGTGTGGATGTGTGTGTTCAACTGCGAGTCGATTGATCGCTGAACCCCACAGTCTGCGCGTTTCGACCTCCATCTGCCTTTACCGCCTGACCTCGGTGCGGTTGAACAACTCTTAATTCAGAACAAATGTTAGGGAACAAGCTCGTTTTCATTGCTTTCTCATCAGGCTAATACACCACAAATGAATGACATAAACGTAAACATCAGCTAGGGGTAAAGGTTCAAAACCCAGATTTTCTGTGTGACCAAGATAGGTGATTGGCCCCACGGCGATCAACAGTTGGCTGTGTGTGTGGGTGGCATTGTCCACACTATGGTCCGTGCTGCAGGTTACCATTGTAGAGGTATTGCCTGGACAAATTGCTTGTGCACACCTAAGTCAGGGTCATGGAACCTGATGGCTATCGCCTCGGCTGCTGCCATTAGACGAAATCTAACCGCTCTTGTGTGGCATCTGTGTACGCGGTAGATGGGCTGGAACGCCTCATGCGCTCTGACCTGGTGGCTCAAGTCGATCAGGTGCGTAGACACTGCGCTTGCCACTGATCTAGTCACGCCGCTATACAGCCGAGATGGACAGTGTTCCCTGTCTCTCTCGGACAGTCTCCTGGTAGTTCTTCCGATACATCTGGATCGACATGCACAAGAGAAAGAGTATGCACAGAATGAAGTACTTGACCTTGGATTTCTGTCCTTAAGTTGTTGATTCATGGTCGGCATTGAGTAGAAGCTTAGCCGTAGGCTTGCTGTATAGTACGTTTGATCGATGGCGTCATAAAGCCTTCTAAACGTTGATTCAGCTGTTCCGTCCCCCTTTAACGGCAACGTTATCTTTCCTACTGAATCCACACATACACGCTGTTGATCGCCGTGTGGCCAATCACCTATCTTGGTCACTCAGACAAGCTGGGTTTTGAACCTGTACCCCTAGCTGATGTTTACGTTCATGTCATTCATTTGTGATATAATAGCCTGATGATGAACCACTGAAAACGAGATTGTTCGCTAACATTTGTTCTGATGTCTACTCGAGGGATATTTTATCAGTTGGAACACTCAATTCGTGTGTGTGTTCTGATGTGTTGGTGCGTCAGGCCTGGCGCAAAGAACACTCATCAATGCGAGCGCTCAGAGGCCTTACTACAAACGATAAGAGGACAACTAGCATACCAATGGTTCAACGTCGCCCATGTTGCACGGACAATTGCATTATAGTCCTCAAGATCTGTATAACCTGTTCTAGCTGCATTAGATCGTACTGTACGCAATGTGTAAGTAAATCCGTCCAAGAAGTGAGACAGACACACAAAGTTGCTGACACAACTTGGTTTTGCGCAACATGTCAAGTCATTCCAGTTGTCAACTGTTTATTTTTGCTCATGAAAAAGTGCGATAGAATGACTGAGATAATCGCGCATTTTGTAAATATTAAGATCTATCCCACGGAGGCAAATATGGCCACGCTAATACCTCAATCAGGCAAAGTAAGCTCTAAATCTAAGCCGAAAAAGAGAGCTAGACGCTCCAACCGCACTGCAGCGTCTGTGACTCTAAATCCACTGGGTCACCTCACTCCCATAAGTGGACAAGCCTCAAACATGCCTGCTTCCACTTCTCCAACCATAGGCGCTTCACCTGGAGATTCAGTCATGACACCGACAGCTCAGAGCCGAAGGCAATCCGGTGCAGATAACAAGCAGGGAAAGTACGCATCGACTGTCTCAACAAACACACCGGGAGCGGCACACATAAGTCCATCTTCCGTACCGAGCACGCGTGGCGCAACGCAGATTTCACCGTCAAATCCAGTGGTGCCTTCTAAACAACCCGAATGGACGGCAAAAATTATAAAGCCAGCACTCGCTAGACAAAACCACACTGCGTTAACTCTCGTGTGCACTAATGTTCCCGAGTCCAAATCTGGCACAATCAAAAGCCAGTTGCAAGTGGAGTTCCATCTGCGATGCGGTTGGTTTTCGGGTTGAGCTTACAATGCTACAACGCGTAGCGCGTCACCCGACCTCAGTGCACACTAGTGAACCTCAGATTCTTCGAGTAACACTAGACTGAGAAGATGAGACAAAGGCTGTCCTGCTCTCGGCAGTTCGGCTTCGTAACTCACTGTGCGGTGCGCATATTACGCGATCAACCTTGGCAAGGTGGTCCAAAAGAAGCAGTTGGCCAAGGCGGCATTCCTAATAGGGATAGCGGGAAAAGAATATTTGTTCATGGTGTTCCTGAGCTTCTGCATTCTTCTGATCACGATGGGCAAACACATGACTGAGCGCATTGGTGCTACATCCGCGAAGCACTCTCTGTTGACAATGTTATTGCCAAATCCCCGACAAGAGTTCCCTCAGCACCTAACTACAAAGGCAGCGGTCCAAGACTAATGAAAGTACTATTACACTCCGAGGGAATGACGCAAGTTCTGTTGGATATCTGGTTAAATTTTCGAGCCAGGTTGCCAACAGAAATCCGGTTAAAGGCAGCAGACGAACGGCCAAAAGTCGTAAGCAATTCGATGGAAATTGCAAACGCTACAAATTCTTTATCTGCACAGTCCTACGGAGAGCCCGACACAACAGCGCCCACGGCACAAAACAGGACCGAGCACAGCACGAGTGAAACCTCTGTTCCTGAACGCTCAATAATTCCATGCAACTTGACAGAAATTTATAAACCAAAAAAGATTAATTGAGGTCGTCTTTGGGGATGTACAATCGCTACTTAAGGTTTGTCAGGCAACGAGCCACAGTGTTACACCTGCTGCATCTTTTGTTATGCAAGGGCACTCAGTGTGTGTGGCTTGAGACGGAGCAATTGGCTTTAAGTCAAGCTAAAGTTGTATTGGCCAGTCCTCCGGTTTTAGTCAGCTTTGGCCCCGAAAATTACATGACGCTGCCATGCGCTGCATCACCGTACGGAGTCGGAGCCGCCCTGTTACAACTGACGCGAACGGAGAAAACAAACCAGTTACAGTTGCCTCTAGAACCCAATTACAGGCCGAGCGAAACCACGCCCAAATTGACAAGGAGTATTTGGCGGTCATATTTGGTGCTGTACGATTTCACCAATACCTATTGGGGCAGAGATTTAAAATATACACAGACCATAAGCCATTATTGGAAATTTTGGGGGAATCAAAAGCAATTCCCCAAATGGCACCGCCCCGTATGCTTCGCTGTGCCCTACTGCTTGCCGGCTATCAGTAACAATTAAAATATCTTCCGGGGAAGGAAAATTAATGTCCCGATGCTCTCAACCGACTTCCATAACGGGAGGTTCCGAGCCAAACACCAGCTTTGAGAGAAACGTTATAAATCGTATCTGCGTTGGATTACCCCCCCCCCCCCCCACCCCCCCCCCCCCCCCCCCCCCCCCCCCCCCCCCCCCCCCCCCCCCCCCGCCCCCCCCCCCCCCCCCCCCCCCCCCCCCCCCCCCCCCCCCCCCCCCCCCCCCCCCCCCCCCCCCCCCCCCCCCCCCCCCCCGCCCCCCCCCCCCCCCCCCCCCCCCCCCCCCCCCCCCCCCCCCCCCCCCCCCCGCCCCCCCCCCCCCCCCCCCCCCCCCCCCCCCCCCCCCCCCCCCCCCCCCCCCCCCCCCGCCCCCCCCCCCCCCCCCCCCCCCCCCCCCCCCCCCCCCCCCCCCGCCCCCCCCCCCCCCCCCCCCCCCCCCCCCCCCCCCCCCCCCCCCCCGCCCCCCCCCCCCCCCCCCCCCCCCCCCCCCCCCCCCCCCCCCCCCCCCCCCCCCCCCGCCCCCCCCCCCCCCCCCCCCCCCCCCCCCCCCCCCCCCCCCCCCCCCCCCCCCCCCGCCCCCCCCCCCCCCCCCCCCCCCCCCCCCCCCCCCCCCCCCCCCCCCCCCCCCCCCCCCGCCTCCCCCCCCCCCCCCCCCCCCCCCCCCCCCCCCGCCCCCCCCCCCCCCCCCCCCCCCCCCCCCCCCCCCCCCCCCCCCCCCCCCCCCCCCCCCCCCCCCCCCCCCCCCCCCCCCCCCCCCCCCCCCCCCCCCCCCCCCCCCCCCCCCCCCCCCCCCCCCCCCCCCCCCCCCCCCCCCCCCCCCCCCCCCGCCCCCCCCCCGCCCCCCCCCCCCCCCCCCCCCCCCCCCCCCCCCCCCCCCCCCCCCCCCCCCCCCGCCCCCCCCCCCCCCCCCCCCCCCCCCCCCCCCCCCCCCCCCCCCCCCCCCCGCCCCCCCCCCCCCCCCCCCCCCCCCCCCCCCCCCCCCCCCCCCCCCCCCCCCCCCCCCCCCCCCCCCCCCCCCCCGCCCCCCCCCCCCCCCCCCCCCCCCCCCCCCCCCCCCCCCCCCCCCCCCCCCCCCCCCCCCCCGCCCCCCCCCCCCCCCCCCCCCCCCCCCCCCCCCCCCCCCCCCCCCCCCCCCCCCCCCCCCCCCCCCCCCCCCCCCCCCCCCCGCCCCCCCCCCCCCCCCCCCCCCCCCCCCCCCCCCCGCCCCCCCCCCCCCCCCCCCCCCCCCCCCCCCCCCCCCCCCCCCCCCCCCCCCCCCCCCCCCCCCCCCCCCCCCCCCCCCCCCCCCCCCCCCCCCCCCCCCCCCCCCCCCCCCCCCCCCCCCCCCCCCCCCCCCCCCCCCCCCCCCCCCCCCCCCGCCCCCCCCCCCCCCCCCCCCCCCCCCCCCCCCCCCGCCCCCCCCCCCCCCCCCCCCCCCCCCCCCCCCCCCCCCGCCCCCCCCCCCCCCCCCCCCCCCCCCCCCCCCCCCCCCCCCCCCCCCCCCCCCCCCCCCCCCGCCCCCCCCCCCCCCCCCCCCCCCCCCCCCCCCCCCCCCCGCCCCCCCCCCCCCCCCCCCCCCCCCCCCCCCCCCCCCCCCCCCCCCCCCCCCCCCCCCCCCCCCCCCCCCCCCCCCCCCCCCCCCCCCCCCCCCCCCCCCCCCCCCCCCGCCCCCCCCCCCCCCCCCCCCCCCCCCCCCCCCCCCCCCCCCCCCCCCCGCCCCCCCCCCCCCCCCCCCCCCCCCCCCCCCCCCCCCCCCCCCCCCCCCCCCCCCCCCCCCCCCCCCCCCCCGCCCCCCCACCCCCCCCCCCCCCCCCCCCCCCCCCCGCCCCCCCCCCCCCCCCCCCCCCCCCCCCCCCCCCCCCCCCCCCCCCCCCCCCCCCCCCCCCCCCCCCCCCCCCCCCCCCCCCCCCCCCCCCCCCCCCCCCCCCCCCCCCCCCCGCCCCCCCCCCCCCCCCCCCCCCCCCCCCCCCCCCCCCCCCCCCGCCCCCCCCCCCCCCCCCCCCCCCCCCCCCCCCCCCCCCCCCCCCCCCCCCCCCCCCCCCCCCCCGCCCCCCCCCCCCCCCCCCCCCCCCCCCCCGCCCCCCCCCCCCCCCCCCCCCCCCCCCCCCCCCCCCCCCCCCCCCCCCCGCCCCCCCCCCCCCCCCCCCCCCCCCCCCCCGCCCCCCCCCCCCCCCCCCCCCCCCCCCCCCCCCCCCCCCCCCCCCCCCCCCCCCCCCCCCCCGCCCGCCCCCCCCCCCCCCCCCCCCCCGCCCCCCCCCCCCCCCCCCCCCCCCCCCCCCCCCCGCCCCCCCCCCCCCCCCCCCCCCCCCCCCCCCCCCCCCCCCCCCCCCCCCCCCCCCCCCCCCCCCCCCCCCCCCCCCCCCCCCCCGCCCCCCCCCCCCCCCCCCCCCCCCCCCCCCCCCCCCCCCCCCCCCCCCCCCCCCCCCCCCCCCCCCCCCCGCCCCCCCCCCCCCCCCCCCCCCCCCCCCCCCCCCCCCCCCCCCCCCCCCCCCCCCCCCCGCCCCCCCCCCCCCCCCCCCCCCCCCCCCCCCCCCCCCGCCCCCCCCCCCCCCCCCCCCCCCCCCCCCCCCCCCCCCCCCCCCCCCCCCCGCCCCCCCCCCCCCCCCCCCCCCCCCCCCCCCCCCCCCCCCCCCCCCCCCCCCGCCCCCCCCCCCCCCCCCCCCCCCCCCCCCCCCCCCGCCCCCCCCCCCCCCCCCCCCCCCCCCCCCCCCCCCCCCCCCCCCCCCCCCCCCCCCCCCCCCCCCCCCCCCCCCGCCCCCCCCCCCCCCCCCCCCCCCCCCCCCCCCCCCCCCCCCCCCCCCCCCCCCCCCCCCCCCCCCCCCCCCCCCCCCGCCCCCCCCCCCCCCCCCCCCCCCCCCCCCCCCCCCCCCCCCCCCCCCCGCCCCCCCCCCCCCCCCCCCCCCCCCCCCCCCCCCCCCCCCCCCCCCCCCCCCCCCCCCCCCCCCCCCCCCCCCGCCCCCCCCCCCCCCCCCCCCCCCCCCCCCCCCCCCCCCCCCCCCGCCCCCCCCCCCCCCCCCCCCCCCCCCCCCCCCCCCCCCCCCCCCCCCCCCCCCCCCCCCCCCCCCCCCCCCGCCCCCCCCGCCCCCCCCCCCCCCCCCCCCCCCCCCCCCCCCCCCCCGCCCCCCCCCCCCCCCCCCCCCCCCCCCCCCCCCCCCCCCCCCCCCCCCCCCCCCCCCCCCCCCCCCCCCCCCCCCCCCCCCCCCCCCCCCGCCCCCCCCCCCCCCCCCCCCCCCCCCCCCCCCCCCCCGCCCCCCCCCCCCCCCCCCCCCCCCCCCCCCCCCCCCCCCCCCCCCCCCCCCCCCCCCCCCCCCCCCCCCCCCCCCCCCCCGCCCCCCCCCCCCCCCCCCCCCCCCCCCCCCCCCCCCCCCCCCCCCCCCCCCCCCCCCCCCCCCCCCCCCCCCCCCCCCCCCCCCCCCCCCCCCCCCCCGCCCCCCCCCCCCGCCCCCCCCCCCCCCCCGCCCCCCCCCCCCCCCCCCCCCCCCCCCCCCCCCCCCCCCCCGCCCCCCCCCCCCCCCCCCCGCCCCCCCCCCCCCCCCCCCCCCCCCCCCCCCCCCCCCCCCCCCCCCCCCCCCCCCCCGCCCCCCCCCCCCCCCCCCCCCCCCCCCCCTCCCCCCCCCCCCCCCCCCCGCCCCCCCCCCCCCCCCCCCCCCCGCCCCCCCCCCCCCCCCCCCCCCCCCCCCCCCCCCCCCCCCCCCCCCCCCCCCCCCCCGCCCCCCCCCCCCCCCCCCCCCCCCCCCCCCCCCCCCCCCCCCCCCCCCCCCCCCCCGCCCCCCCCCCCCCCCCCCCCCCCCCCCCCCCGCCCCCCCCCCCCCCCCCCCCCCCCCCCCCCCCCGCCCCCCCCCCCCCCCCCCCCCCCCCCCCCCCCCCCCCCCCCCCCCCCCCCCCCCCCCCCCCCCCCCCCCCCCCCCCCCCCCCCCCCCCGCCCCCCCCCCCCCCCCCCCCCCCCCCCCCCCCCCCCCCCCCCGCCCCCCCCCCCCCCCCCCCCCCCCCCCCCCCCCCCCCCCCCCCCCCGCCCCCCCCCCCCCCCCCCCCCCCCCCCCCGCCCCCCCCCCCCCCCCCCCCCCCCCGCCCCCCCCCCCCCCCCCCCCCCCCCCCCCCCCCCCCCGCCCCCCCCCCCCCCCCCCCCCCCCCCCCCCCCCCCCCCCCCCCCCCCCCCCCCCCCCCCGCCCCCCCCCCCCCCCCCCCCCCCCCCCCCCCCCCCCCCCCCCCCCCCCCCCCCCCGCCCCCCCCCCCCCCCCCCCCCTCGCCCCCCCCCCCCCCCCCCCCCCCCCCCCCCCCCCCCCCCCCCCGCCCCCCCCCCCCCCCCCCCCCCCCCCGCCCCCCCCCCCCCCCCCCCCCCCCCCCCCCCCCCCCCCCCCCCCCCTCCCCCCCCCCCCCCCCCCCCCCCCCCCCCCCCCCCCCCCCCCCCCCCCCCCCCCCCCCCCCCCCCCCCCCCCCCCCCCCCCCCCCGCCCCCCCCCCCCCCCCCCCCCCCCCCCCCCCCCCCCCCCGCCCCCCCCCCCCCCCCCCCCCCCCCCGCCCCCCCCCCCCCCCCCCCCCCCCCCCCCCCCCCCCCCCGCCCCCCCCCCCCCCCCCCCCCCCCCCCCCCCCCCCCCCGCCCCCCGCCCCCCCCCCCCCCCCCCCCCCCCGCCCCCCCCCCCCCCCCCCCCCCCCCCCCCCCCCCCCCGCCCCCCCCCCCCCCCCCCCCCCCCCCCCCCCCGCCCCCCCCCCCCCCCCCCCCCCCCCCCCCCGCCCCCCCCCCCCCCCCCCCCCCCCCCCCCCCCCCCCCCCCCCCCCCCCCCCCCCCCCCGCCCCCCCCCCCCCCCCCCCCCCCCCCCCCCCCCCCCCCCCCCCCCCCCCCCCCCCCCCCCCCCCCCCCCCCCCCCGCCCCCCCCCCCCCCCCCCCCCCCCCCCCCCCCCCCCCCCCCCCCCCCCCCCCCCCGCCCCCCCCCCCCCCCCCCCCCCCCCCCCCCCCCCCCCCCCCCCCCCCCCCCCCGCCCCCCCCCCCCCCCCCCCCCCCCCCCCCCCCCCCCCCCCCCCCCGCCCCCCCCCCCCCCCCCCCCCCCCCCCCCCCCCCCCCCCCCCCCCCCCCCCCCCCCCCCCGCCCCCCCCCCCCCCCCCCCCCCCCCCCCCCCCCCCCCCCCCCCCCCCCCCCCCCCCCCCCGCCCCCCCCCCCCCCCCCCCCCCCCCCCCCCCCCCCCCCCCCCCCCCCCCCCCCCCCCCCGCCCCCCCCCCCCCCCCCCCCCCCCCCCCCCCCCCCCCCCCCCCCCCCCCCCCCCCCCCCCCCCCCCCCCCCCCGCCCCCCCCCCCCCCCCCCCCCCCCCCCCCCCCCCCCCCCCCCCCCCCGCCCCCCCCCCCCCCCCCCCCCCCCCCCCCCCCCCCCCCCCCCCCCCCCCCCCCCCCCCCCCCCCCCCCCCCCCCCCCCCCCCCCCCCCCCCCCCCCCCCCCCCCCCCCCCCCCCCCCCCGCCCCCCCCCCCCCCCCCCCCCCCCCCCCCCCCCCCCCCCCCGCCCCCCCCCCCCCCCCCCCCCCCCCCCCCCCCCCCCCCCCCCCCCCCCCCCCCCCCCCCCCCCCCCCCCCCCCCCCCCCCCCCCCCCCGCCCCCCCCCCCCCCCCCCCCCCCCCCCCCCCCCCCCCCCCCCCCCCCCCCCCCCCCCCCCCCCCCCCCCCCCCCCGCCCCCCCCCCCCCCCCCCCCCCCCCCCCCCCGCCCCCCCCCCCCCCCCCCCCCCCCCCCCCCCCCCCCCCCCCCCCCCCCCCCCCCCGCCCCCCCCCCCCCCCCCCCCCCCCCCCCCCCCCCCCCCCCCCCCCCCCCCCCCCCGCCCCCCCCCCCCCCCCCCCCCCCCCCCCCCCCCCCCGCCCCCCCCCCCCCCCCCCCCCCCCCCCCCCCCCCCCCCCCCCCCCCCGCCCCCCCCCCCCCCCCCCCCCCCCCCCCCCCCCCCCCCCCCCCCCCCCCCCCCCCCCCCCCCCCCCCCCTCCCCCCCCCCCCCCCCCCCCCCCCCCCCCCCCCCCCCCCCCCCCCCCCCCCCCCCCCCCCCCCCCCGCCCCCCCCCCCCCCCCCCCCCCCCCCCCCCCCCCCCCCCCCCCCCCCCCCCCCCCCCCCCCCCCCCCCCCCCCCCCCCCCCCCCCCCGCCCCCCCCCCCCCCCCCCCCCCCCCCCCCCCCCCCCCCCCCCCCCCCCCCCCCCCCCCCCCCCCCCCCCCCCCGCCCCCCCCCCCCCCCCCCCCCCCCCCCCCCCCCCCCCCCCCCCCCCCCCCCCCCCCCCCCCCCCCCCCCCCCCCCCCCCCCCCCCCCCCCCCCCCCCCCCCCGCCCCCCCCCCCCCCCCCCCCCCCCCCCCCCCCCCCCCCCCCCCCCCCCCCCCGATCGACAATGATGCGTAGAAAATCTACCTCATGGTGCTAAATTCGAACCGCTGAAGGATAACCGCTCTAACATCGTAGATAGTGGCATCTGCAGATACAAGTATGTATACGTTTGGGTCACCATGCATCAAAATTGTCACACACAAGAGCCTAAACGTTTCCCCCCATCGAGATGACCGAAAACAGGAACGAAGTTTACCCTGGAACGCAACCATTGGCCAAGGAAGACGATGCATATCAGGAATAAATGAAGTCCAATAACTCACCATGCTTAGGAACGATTGCAGATTAGGTACAGCGTTATTTTGGTCCTATATATTAATGCAAATATCGTCCAAGTATATACAAGCTGATTGTATGTCCGCCAGCATAATATCCATCAGTTGTTGAAAAATTCTGAGACAGAATCACTCCAATCTTTAGCCGATAATATTGAAAAGGCCAAGGGGAGTGTTTCTTGTAAGCTGGCGCGATGCTTCATGGTAGATTGCCATCCGAGAGATCAACCTTTTTAAAATTCTTCTGACGATGAGTTTGGCCTAAAGATCCTGCAGTTTTGACAGCGGTTATTGATGAATACTCAGTGTTGTGTTTAGACCGGTTTAAAAATTTCCACATAAGCAAATGGCTTTACTTGCCTTTTACAAAATCACTACTGGCGCTGTTCAGTCCGAGTATTCCAGTTTAGATATCAGCCTCGGTTTCTCCAAACGATCCAATTCGTCGTCAACTAAGTTAAGTGAAGCATACGGCGCAGGTCGTTTGCGTCGAAATACAGGCTTTTTGCCATGCTTTAAATAAAGCGATGCCGTGACTTTGGCACAACCTTCAAGGGTGAGGTGAAACACTTGTGAGAACTGCTTGTGCATATCGTCGGCGATTGTAGACTTCAGCGCTGCTTGGCATTGTGATGACGCATCCGTACCTGATAGACTATCCTCATTTGGTTCACGGAAACGTTCTGGAGAAAAACTCCACATGTTCAAAACGGCGCTCCGATTGATATCAACTATGTTAAATGTCGGGTTGCCAGAAACGAGATAGACGTCAATTTGCTTATTGTTTCTATAAACAGAATCACAAGGAAATGTACCATATAACTGTAGCATATTGTTTGATGCACTCCTTGCGGTATCTTTCGTATTGTGCAGTACCGGTCTACCGATTGACGACCACGTCGGGCTGGAGATTATGATAGTGTCAGCCGCAATACCCACATGTACATGCGCTGATTAATCATTGATAGCGTCGATGATAATCATAAAATGTAGAAATCCTTGCTGTGCAATTGCGTAAACCATCTTAGACCCCTATTTCTTCGGCATTGCCGAGACGGTTTCGGTTGGTCCCCAAAATAGAGACTTCGCGTGGCAGGTCGGCAATGTGTTTTTTATGGTCTTTCTCGTGGCAGTTAGTGCCTTGGGGACTGATGAACGGGCAATTTATGGCAAAATGCCAGTTACAACACTACCAAAACACATGGAGATTTACCGGACTTCGAGTAGGAACTGCAACATGTTTGAGTCACTTTTTAAATAGACCAGACGCTGATAATCTGTAGTAAGTTTCTTAATGGTTAAATCTGGAGAAGAATTCAGTTTGGAGAGCAGAATTGTTTTGATTTTTGCGGCAGATAAAGTAAGGCGTGATACAAAAAGGAGTGACCGGAACAGACCATACATCAGTTGTTTTGTGCATGAAGCATTCTTACAAATGATTCCATCTACCAGCGTATGGAACCTAAGCCTCGGATTGATCATCAACCAGCTTTAAACACAGATAATAGGTGTTAAAAATGAATGACCTATCAGGAATACAGAGCTGATAACATAGACAGTGTCATGGAAATTGCGGTTGAGGGAATGTTTCAGTGGAGTAAAGTTGCAATAATTGTTGGGTTCATTTGCACTCCGCTTCCGTAAAGACAAATATACTTTGGCCGCATCGTCAAGTGTGTTCGCGTAAATAGTAAGATGTCTACAACCGCCTGTACCAGGTTGCAAAATGATTTCGTTCTGTGCGTCATATTGCAAGCAATGTATTCTGTTTGCTAACGCTCTGAAGTTACTTGACTCAGATTTCACTGTGACGTGTGTAAGATTAAAGGATAACATTTACTCTGTGTAAGATTGAAAAAATGTTTGTAGTAGGAGTACTTTTTGAAGTAGTCGTTGTGTGATTGGTTTGAGACGCGCAATCTCGATGTGGGCCGTCAATCACATTGAAGCGAACCTCGGTCAGTTGCATCACTAGGGCTGAATCTGAATCTTATATGTATTGCCGACACAAAAACATCGCAATCCACTATTAGTTTTGATCTTATTTGAATTTAGCATGTAAAGATTGCAGGCCCCGCAATCTGATCACACAATGGCAGATCAATATGACCCTGCAATTTGTCGTTAACCGCTCTACAAAGCCTTGCTCGTCGAGATGTGGTGGTGAAAGTGGTATGGGTTCCAACTAAAATTACTGTGGTCCCAGTTTCGAAGACTGCTTTCCCTACCTGATGAGGTCAGACAAAATTGAAATGCATAGTCAAGTACATTGCATTCGGGCTGACAAGACCCTATTCCCATATGCTTCAGCTTCGGAGTTATTAATGAAATTCATCTAAGTTCGCTTCAATAAGAATCACGTTCCACATGGAAATCACGCGTCATAATCCAATCACATAACAAGTAGCTAAAAATTACCCTCCAATCACTCATTAACCATTTTGCCAAAACTTGTCCGTCGTGATCTTGTCTCTAAAGGAGTAGACGTTCCAAATGACATCCCAGTGGTGTAGTGCATTGGAAAACACGCTCTTTCAGTATTTCGAAACATTGGATTTTACGGTTGTTTTAACCTGCAAAACGTCCGTTTGTTTTACTGATTGCACATCCGTTGGCACAAAGAGTTTTGGTGAGTACCTTGCTGCACCGTTTCTCGCTCTGGCGGACTCGCTTCCGATTTTTGTAGCCTGCGCGTTCAGCTTTTATACAGTCCCGTATTTGACAAGTCTCCTACGTGTCATTTCTTACCGACTAGTATCCCAGGCTCCCCCCAATAATTGGTGATCCCCTGTCAGGAACACGCCGTCCGCCATTTTGCATGTTCATTCTGGTGAGCTCGTTCCAGTGATCCTGTGATTCATTACTTGTGATCTTCTTGTTTTCTCACCTACCACATCTTTCATCAGATTTTTGCAAGCAATTATCAAGAGGATGAGCAGTCTCCATACGCGGTTAACGCCGTTGAGCCTGTCATGGTCAATTCTGTTGCGTTATCCCCTCCACCTTTTTGGGAGAATGATCCTTCGTTATGGTTTTTGCACCTAAAATCCGCGTTTTTACATTCGTAGGATTTCTTCTGATTTTGCCATGTATAATCAGTTAACATCTCGCCTTCCTCAGAGTACATCTTCACAGGTGAGAGACATAATATTTTTCCCCATCTTGTATTGAAATACGGGAATCTTAAACAGGCTATTATTCAGCGAATCACGCCTTCTGACAAGGTCAGTCTGCAGCAACTATCTAGTGATCTGTAACTAGGAGATAGGATGCCTTCAGCAATGTTGCGCAAAATGCAACAGCTCATCGACACGTCCAACATGGACGTAGGGATTCACTACGAGCTGTGGATACAACGCCTTGCAGTAGCAAGTGAATTGCCAATCAGAGCAATTGCCGATCTGGCAGACCGCGTCATCGAACAGCATCAGCTAGAGACTGAAAACAAAGTACCTAAGTAGCTTTGTGCTGCGCAACCACACTGACACCCGCGACTAGCTAGCCTTTGGCAATAGAAGCATTATCATTGCAGATAGCGTCGCTTCAGCGCCAGGTAGAGGAACTCACTTTAAACCGTAAGCAGGGCAACCGCTCTGGATCATCGCCTAGTCGAACAAAACCTGATGTCCCAGGTTACTGCTTTTCTGCTTCGCGTTTCAGTAATAAAGCGCGTAAATGCGTATAGCCATGTAGCTACTCTGCTATAGATGATCCGCCACGCCGGCCTGTAACGGCCACGAACATCGGCAAAGCCCATAGTCGTCTCATCTACATTAGAGATTATGATTCCGAGACCCAGTTCTTAGTTGATACGGAGGCGGAGGTGAGCGTCATTCCCCCCATGTCAGGTGAGCCTCTCGCTTCTTTGTCGACAAGCCTCAGTGCCGCCAATGGCACGCCAATATCCACCTACGGTGATCGGTCACTTACCCTGTACCTAGGTCTTCGGAGCACGTTCCGCAGGGTATTCACCGTCGCTGCAGTCCCCCCTTGCCATCATCGGCATTGACATTCTCAGGCATTTCGACCTCTTGATCGATGCGAAACGCCAGATGATAGTCGACATTGCAACGAAACTCAGTGTACGTGGCATCACCGCCGATATCGCATCTAAATCCCCGGTCTATGCATTTCCCCAGACATTGCCATACTACGTCAACCTCTTTTCTCAGTATTCCAAGCTCGTTCAGCCAATGAACGCAGCTTTGCTCGTGGCAGCCTAAGTCACGCACCACATACGGACGAGTGGCCCACCAGTGTCATGCCGTCCACGCCAACTATCGCCCGAGAAAATAAAGGTAAGTAGGGCTGAGTTTAAGCACATGCTTGAACTTGGAATAATATGCCCTTCCGACAGCTCTTGGTCCTCGCCCCTGCAGATGGTCCCCAAGAAATCTGGTGACTGGCGCCCTTGCTATTATAATCGCGCATTTAATTGATCAACCGTCCGGGAAAGGGATCCCATCCCACACATGAATGACCTCACCACATGCCTCACAAGTAAGACGACCTTCAGCAAGATCGAGCTGGTTCGCGCCTATCACCAGATCCCTGTGGAAGACAATGACATTCATAAAACAACCGTTGTCACCCCTTGCAGCTTGTTTGAAATTTTAAAAATGCCAGTTGGACTGTGCAACGCCGCACAAGCCTTCCAACACTTCATCCACATTGTCACTCGTGGCCTGGACTTGGCTCATTCCTACCTCGATGATATTTTAGTATTTGGTTCATCGGAACGAGAGCACATGGACCATCTACTAACTCTCTTCCCGCGCTTGACCTAACACGGTGTTACAGTCAACCCGACTAAGTGCGAACTCGGCAAATCAACGGTAAAATGTTTAGGCTACCTTGTCTCATCATCTGGTATCGAACTCCGTCCTGATAAGACCCTAGCAATCAAGGACCTCCCAGCTCCAACTTCATTTAAACACTTCTGTAGATTTTATTGTTTTGTCAACTACTATCGACGCTTCATTCTGTGATGC